AAGACACCGGGACGATCTCTGATCGTTTCTCCTTTTTAAAGGACTTCAAAGTTTTAAGGACATACAAATTTATTAAAATATATTTACTGAATAGTTTTAGTCAATATGGGTATCAAATGAAAGATGGTAATCTCCGGAAATCAAATATATTTTTTTTTTTTATTTTTCAGGACGAACAATTTCAAATAATATCCTTTGAAAATTTCATTCTTTCATATCCGTGGAATTTCCATTATATTTTTTTTAATAAATATAAGTTAAAATTTTATTCTATAGTTTTATTATTTAAGCGGTAAAAAATTTATATTATTACTCTAATATGAAAAATTTCAATTTCTTTATACATAAGGAAAAAATTGTGAGTAAAATATTGGACACTACTTTTTGGACTGGAACAAAACCAAATACTAGTGAAAGTAGAGAAAAAATATACATATAATAAGTTTTTAATTTTCTAATCTAAAGGACATTAAACTTAAAAAAATATAAAATGTTCTTATTTAACAAGAAATATTTTTTTAATATTAGAGTAATAATATATTTTTTAGCGACTTAACTAATAGTACTAAAAGTGCATTTTGGAGAAAAAAAATATATTGAAAATTCTCAAAGATATAAAAGAATGAAATTTTCAAAAGACCATATTAACACTTTTTTTTCCTGAAAAATAAAAAACAAAATATAATATTGATTTTCGTAGATAGTCCTCTTTAATTTGATACCCATATTGACGAAAACTATTTGATAGACATATTTTAATACATTTTTATATTTTTAAAAAGGAGAAAAGATCAGAAAATGAAAAACTAAAAATGAAGTTTTACCAATAAATACTTCTGCACAGTGTTATAGGATAACAAATTCCAAAAACAATTCATGACCAAAGATGTCTTAAAAATGTATTTTTTAATTTTCATAATTCTATACTAAAATTAGGTTATAATGTCAACGACAACATATACAACAAGTAAGAGTGTTATATTCGGCTATGCCGAATCTTATATACCCACCATCAAATCATGTGCCATACATTTAAAGTGAATTTTGGATTGAATTTATTACCACAATAAATAGTTAGTATGATTATACACGTATTTTTGGAGATTAAAATAATTTTCTGAAGAGGAGCTTAAATAGGAGGTAGGGTCAATTATAGACCGATCCTTATAAAATTTGACCGATAAAGCATATTTATGTCGAATTTCGTTGCTATATTGGCATTTCCAGTTATAGTAATTTTTCAAGGGTACCTTATATGGGAGGTACGGTTAATTAATGTTCGATCCTTATAAAATTAGGTGGGGAGATTTTAGTTGCCATAAAACTTTTTTATGTAGAATTTCGTTGCTATACTGGAATTTTGAAGCAAGTTATGCGCGTTTTAGTAATTTTTAAAGGGGACCTTGTATGGGGGGTAGGGTCAATTATTGGCCGATCCTCAGATAATTTGATGGAGAGATTTTAGTTTCTAAAAAACAGGTATATGTCGAATTTTGTAGCACGTTATGAGCGTTTTAGACATTTTTTGAAGGGGACCTTCTATGGGGATAGGGTCAATTATTGGCCGATCCTCATATAGAGACAGAGAGATTTTAGTTTGTATAAAACAGGTATATGTCAAATTTAATTGCTATACTGAAATCTTTTAACAAGTTACGAGCGTTTAAGTCATTTTCTGAGGAGGGGTCTTATATGGAGAGTAGGGTCAATTATGGTCCGATCCTTATAAAATTAAGCGGGGAGATTTTAGTTTCCATAAAACTTGTTAATGTGGAATTTCGTTGCTATAGTTGCATTTTGAAAGGAGTTGTGAGTGTTATAGTCATTTTTTGAAGTGGGCCTTATATGGGGGATAGGGTCAAAAGTTCTCAGAGTGATTTAGCTTTCCATCAGTCCCTTTCGTGACGAATTTAATCACTATATTGGTATTCTTAATCGTATTTTTGGACGTTAAAGTCATTTTCTGATGGGATCTTTATATTTGTTTCTATAAAACTTGTTTATACCTAATTTCAGTGCTACATGAGCTTTATTAAGCCAGTTATCTACGTTATAGTCATTTTCTGAAGTGGACCTTATATGGGGGCTAGGTGAAATCGTGGATCGATATTGCCCATTTTCAATACCAAATAGTGCCTATCAATGAAAAGTATTTCTCTCGTTTAGGCCCTATCGTGTCTATATCAGACAGACGGACGGACATGGCTAGATCGTCTTAGAATTTAATAAGGATCCAGAATATATGTATATAATTTTATGAATGACAAGATCTTTAGAAAATTAACTTCCAGTCTTTGATGAACAAAAAGAATTCAAAATTTTCAACAAAAAATAAATTGTTCCTCGAAAATGAATTATAAATTTATTTAATTTGTATGGAAATACTGTTGATTATTTCACTAAAATAAAACATTCTTGAAATCCCCTAATGGTCCCATTCTTTAGCATATGTGATCGATTAGACTATATTCTAATTGTAGTTCTCAAAAATTGTGAAGCTAGAACACATAACCATTAATTTGAGACCAAGATTAATAAAATCGAACAATTTATTTAGAAATTATACGATATTAAACTTCATGCCTTTGGGAAAAAATGAGAAATGGGATACAATCTAAAAACAAGTAAGAAATTATAGTCGGGCGAGGCCGACCATGTAAGACCCTACACCTGTTACAAAAATAAAATGTGATTTAGTTTTCATAATGAAGCATTTAAGTTGAATTTTACCTTGTCTCAGATATACTTAAGCCATTTATTCTGGAATAAAATTGTGGCATTTAAGTCAAATTTTGAAGGGGGCTTTTTATAGGGGCTAGGGTCAAATTATAAAATTCATGAGGGTTATTAAGGCTAATATAGAAGTTGGTTTTACAGCTTTTTGTCGAGATAGGAGTATATTAAACATAATTAAGGACTTAAAAGGCCTATTCGGCGGGTTCAGTTGTATGGGGGCTAAGTGAAATAATGGACCGATGTTAACCATTTTCAATGCGCTTCGTTTCCGGTACCATAGAAGATCATGTACCAAATTTCATTGAATTATCTCCAAAATTGCGACCTGTAGTTTGATTACAAAGTTTACAAGCCCTATTCAGAGGTTCAGTTGTATGGGGGCTAGGTGAAATAATGAACCGATCTTAACCATTTTCAACAGGCTTCGTCCCTGGGACAACCGAAGATCATGTACCAAATTTCATTGAATTATCTTCAAAATTGCGACCTGTAGTTTGATTACAAGGTTTACAAGCCCTATTCCGGGGTTCAGTTGTATGGGGGCTAGGTGAAATAATGGACCGATCTTAACCATTTTCAATAGGCTTCGTCCCTGGGACAATAGAAGATCATGTACCAAATTACCAAAAATAGCGCAAAAATGTAGAAAATCTGTCCACAGATAAAACTTGAAATCCCCAATTGTCCCCAAATCCCCAATGATGCAAATGATGCAAAATCATTTACACAAGATTTGTGTGAGTTCTGGCTTTCACAGCATTTCATATTCACATGAAATCAAGATTTCACACGAATTTAAAAATGAGATGTTCCCGTTTTCACTTGGTTTCAAATTTGATTTTAAAACAAGATCTGTACATGTCGAAGTAAATTTTTCCAGTACCTATAATTGTAATTATATCCCGTGCAAAAATAAAGGAAAAATTTAATAATAAAATAAATCTGGGGCTTTTATTCTATTGCATTGAATTAAATCACAATTTTTTACTACAAATGTATGTAGATGGTTAAATTTTTATAAAAATATTATATTTAAACAAATTAATATCAAAAGTTTTAGATTTTGTCATTTCATTTTACACACCTAACTATTTTTATGTCGGAAGCCAGAATATACATATACAATTGCTATTAGAACTATCGTATTTTAGTTAAACGTTTGCTCCAATCACTTTTATATACCAACGAACAGAATAAAAACATTTCAATGAATATGAATTTTTAAAAGGCACGTCTAATATTGATGTTGACAAAATGACTGTGATGTTATTGGCAGCAATAAGACACATTATAATTTGAATCAAAAACTATTTTCAAGTAAAATATTTTATTTTAAATTACATTACACTATATGATAGTATTTTAGATGTAACGGTATAAAACGGTAACGCCAAATAAAAAATGCACTTAATATTTAATATGGCAACGTTTTAACTTTTTAAAGAGCGAGTATAGGAGAATACGCTTAGTTTCTGCTATTTTAAGAGAAAGCTAAATTATGCCAACTGAAGTTATTACATTTTTATATATTTCTTTTAACAACAAGAGAATAAACAAATTGATTAAATTGTATTTATTTATGGCTTTTAAGATGTTGTTTTAGAAACACAGATGCACAGTTGTGTTTAATTAAAGAGCGCACCACAACCCCATACAATCCAGGGATGGAAATTTAGAACTATTGTAAATTTTTCATGTTTTTTTGATATCGAAAAGTACTTTATATGGCGTCATATTTTTTCTACTTATGTTATAAACTTTCCTAAGTAATACATAAACTAGTCTATTGATTAGTCTATGAACTTTCCTATATCCTTAGACAAGTTCATAGACTAGTCCATAGACTTATCATTAAAATAGGTCATAGTCATTATGTACTTTTGGTATTAAAAAGTTCACTTTTTGGTAAAAGTGGTAAAAATGTAAATTTTCCAAGCCTGATACAATCTATAAATTCCCCAATTAAACCAACTGCCAACAACAACTAACCATATTTCGTTAGATGGGGATATTGAATAAAAGCAACAGCACATTCTCTTAACATTTCAGTTTACTTTGGAGCGAAGGTGAGTGTAGTTCGCCTGTGAAGAAGTTGTTTTTTGATAGGTTCAGTTTATTTTAATGGAAAAAAAAGAATCTATCAGATTGACATTAATACCAAATGTTAGCCAACAGTAAACCAGAAAAAGTTTGTGTTTGCTAAATTAAAAAAATCCGCAAATAAATACAAAAGAATATGGTAATGTTAGTCTAAAATGTTTAGCGATATTGTTCGTATCACAGAAAAAAGTGTTACATCTGCTTTGAAGCTATTTATAATTATTTTATTATCCCTAAAATAACGTTCATAAAAAATATTAGTGATTATTGGTTGTGTGTGATGATGGTGTTTGAGTACGTAAAGTTCTGGCCGAAGATAATACGACCAAAAACCACCCATCTGTGATGACGGTAGTATAACCGTTATTTTAGAGAGAGAAAATACTGTTTCGAAAGAGTAAGTGCCGTGAGTGAGTGAATGAGTAATTGTTAGTAGTTACTTAGTGGAAGAATTGTTGTACAACAAATGGCAAATCCATTAACAACAACAGAAGAAGCAAAAAGTTGAAAACAAAAATAAAAACAAATTAAATAAAATAGTATCAGAAGTTGTGTACTCAAACAATTTAAAATAAAACGTGTAAAACGAAGATATTCCAACAAAAAGAAAAAAAAAAACAAAATATATTAATTTATAAAATAATTTGTAACATTCATACACATGTTCTAAGTAAGGTATGCATGCATCTATGAAAAAGTGTATACACACTACAATTAAATATAAAATAAAAAATTAATTGTATTAAATAAAAAGAAAAAACACCAACAAAGTGTGAAATCAATACTCCACTCAAAACAATTGATGTATAGAGTATATAGTGTGTGTGTGTGGTGTATGTAAATACAAATAAATAATTCGTAATTGTTGTTAAAAAAGGTCGGATGCTGCATACATTTGAATAAAAAATATGAAATAACAAAACACCGATAATAAAATAACAACAGCAAATATAACAAAATATTGTTTTCTTCTTGTTTTTCAATCGTTTGGTTCGTCGACAGACGACTGATGAAGGTACAATACACAATTCATTGATGATTTAACCAGTTAAAATAAACAAAAACAACAAAAGCAAAAACAAGAAAAGTAAAAAAGAATTTCGCCACGAGGACAGTGTTCACATTGTACAATATGTTGGTTATAAAAACATACATCCGTACTTTTGTATTTACTGATATTAGAGTTTACTTTTTTAGGGGTACATGACAGAAAATTGGTCAATGCTTCCGATATTAATATCTTATAACGGGCTCAATTTAAAAGTATAATGTCAATGATATATTGTATATACATTAGAGCGATTCACAAAAAATGATGCTTGTGTACACTGAAAATAATCCATGCCTACCTTCGAACTATGTACGAAATTTTCGTAAATATTACGAAAAAAGTAGTTAAAATTTGGTGTATAATACGAAATATTATTTAATAGAACCCTCTTCTAATTGTACGGAAGTACGAATACTTGTCGTAATATTTTTTTCGTATATATTAAAAAATTTTGTTTTATTTTTCAATTTATTATTTATTTATTTCGTAATATACGAATATATTTTTTTATTTTAAGAAACAAAATATCTTAAAATATTTTTATTTTAGTAAATATTAATATTAATTAAATTACTATGTTTAATAACATATAACAATTATTTTTATAAAATTTACGAAAAAGTACAATATAAATCACATATTTATTATTTTCATAACATTAAAGAAAGAAATAAATTGTTAACTAAAATACATTTCGTTAATTTTTTTATTCTGAAATTACAAAAATAGTTTTTAAATGAACTAATATGTATATTTATGTAATTTAAAAAAATATTTCGTAAAATATATACTAAAATATTTCGTACATATTACGAAACAATTTCGTAATGCGAAACATAAAAGTTTTCGTATATATAAGGCATGGAATGTTTTCAGTGTACATCAATCAGTCTTGCGCTACACCGTCTTAAGAAAAATATACCAAAGGAGTGTCGATTTAACATGTTTACTAATGTACTAGGCTTAAAAAATTTGTTTCATGATGATTACAAGTATTTGAGTCTAGCGACGACTGTTCGTGAGCTTGACCATATTCAGAAAAGGCTTTATAATTGAGTTTTATATAATAAATAGGTATTTTTTTGAATGGACCTGGTCTCTTTGGTATAAACAATTTTTAAAATTTTTTCACTTAAAATATTTCTTGTAAACTATGTGTATATTATGTATGCATCTTTGCGTTTGACTCAATCATTATTTTTTAAAATAATTCTTTTTCTATTTATGGAAAATAGGATATTTGAATCCTTTCGTTGCAAAAAACTAGATAATTTCCTAAAGCCGAAGTGTATTAAATTTGTTAAGAGTCGATTTCTCATACCCCCAGACATACAGTTTAAACAGCCATATGTTGACTGTCCGATGAATTTGCGCTCAAGCTTGTTTTTTATGTATTCCGAAATTATATAAGGTGGACATCGATGACAAATGTAAGATCCCCTGCAGAAAATTAGTCAGTCCTATTCGAAATAGAGTCACTCCAACGATCAAAAAAGGTATTCCAACAAAAAACTTAATCGTAATAAAACAAGATGCAATTCCACTTCGTTTTAATGCTTTAAGATTGTATGTATTCTGCATTACGATCGTAGCTATGATTTTGTACATTAGTTGTCATTTTAGTGACGTAGAGTCGAATCGAAATATAGAAAATTTCGATTCGAATATACATAAATGCAGAATAAGGGTGACCGTAATGTTCACAACTGCATCGAAAATTCCTGTGCAGTGATAAAATTCGAAGTTATAAAGTTGATTGGAAACTAAAATTTATCTTTGAAATTTCATAAGGATCCCTTTAAAAATAATTTTAACGCTGCCCTTAACATAACATAATTTATTTTTTAGAAACCAAAATCATTCTACCATTTTTTATGAGAATTGGTCCAAATTAAACTTTATCACCGCTCTTAAAGAAAGTCATTCGCTCTTCGTGCAAAGTGAATCAGTCTAATATGCATGTATGTATGTATATGTTCTGACCTTGACATAAAATGTTATCCTTTTTCCTTTTTTGAATCTTCTGCCATAAAACATGAATGGATGGATGGTATTATAGAATGAAATGTTTAATTACATATTTTGAAATAAAACATATGTATGTACATACGTATTTTATTTTCACCTACAAATATTTAAGATAGAAAATGTTAAATGAGCCGTAGCTATTAGAGATTAAAGTAGAATACAGTGTGCGTTATGCAGTATATATACATACATACATATGTATGTATGTAAGTACTTGTTATAGATAAAAAGTATTGTTCATAAAGTAAGCAACTTTTCCTGATGAAATAATCTGTCATGCTTTTTGTACTTTTACAATCAATAACCGGAATAAAATCGATTTCCCTTTCTTTTCGAAAATGTTATGTAGCAAAAAATAATAGGATAAATTTATTTGAAATTGATTTAACCCCTTGTCGACCGGTGGTACTTGTATGTACCAGTTCATTTTTTCATGCACTACTTATATATACTTACACATATATTTTTGAATTCTATTATAATCGATTCTCTAAAGTATCATATTTACCACGAATTGATTCCTCATAACATCAGTTATTTTGTGCAAACAAAATGACAAAGCCGAAAATAAAGTACATACTTCTAGATCAGATTAAAAGAAGGTCATTACTAGAGAACTTTCAAGTAATGCTGACGGTAAGTAGTTGTCATTGAAAAGTAAGTGGTTATGAAAGTGCAACCCATTACCGAGTTTTTGCTGGCTATGGGCGGTAGGGTCAAAATTCGGTAAATAGATTTTGGCTTGTAACAAACTTACTTCTGTATATCGAATTTCATGGCTATACTCGCATTTTTAAGCCAGTATGTGCGTCTTATGAAGGGGGCTTATATGGGGGGTAGGGTCAATTAAGGACCGATTCTCATAAAATTCGGTAGGGAGATTTGTGCTCGTAAGAAACTTACTTATGTCTAATTTCAGCGCTATACTCGTATTTTCAAGCCAGTAGTGAGCGTTAAAGTCATTATATGGGGGTAAATATGGTAAATTCTGAACCGATCCTCATCAAATTCGGTAGATATATTTTTGCTCGTAAGACTCGTATTCTTAAGACTGAAATGGCCGTTAAAGTCATAAAATGGGACCAATCCTCATAAAATTTGGTAGAGAGAATTTGGCTCATATAAAACTTATTTATGTATGTCTAATTTCATCGCTATACTCGCGATGTTATGACTGTTAAAGCTGTTTTTCGGGGGGCCACTTGTATGGGGGCTATTCGAAAACATAGACCGATATTGCTCATTTTCAATACCAAACAAACCTTGCCTATAAGAAATATAGTCTCCGTTCGGACTCTATCGTGCTTTCAACAGACAGACAAACATGGCTAGATCATCTTAGAATTTAATAAGGACCCAGAATATTATGTATACTTTTGTGGATCTATGATCAATATTTCGATGTGTTACAAACGGAATGACAAAATCAATATACCCCCATCTTTTTGATGGTAGGTATAAAAATAAAGTAAATCAGATGACTAGATCTCAAGTTATAACCTTTAAAAATCTTAATAAAAATAAGTTCTGGCCATGTTTTATTAAACAAATTTAAATATAAATGTTAAATAATATTGCATTTTTTAAAAGAGTTTTTTTTTATTAATAACTGTTTTTTTAATTAGAAAAATATCAACCGGTCTTATTTAAATGTCAGCTATGTATTCGAACTATTCGAAAATCGGGTTTTGAAAAATGTAAAAAAATGTATCACCTTAATATCTATTGAACTTCGGGTACATCATCACTACCAAATATTTTTTTTCAACATGAAATAAGTTTTTGAATTATTTCGATGAATTGATATGATAACAAAATTAGATTAACAGTAAAATCGGAAGTGATTCCGAGTTGATCATTATCAAGGCATGGATTTTTATGCACTAAAAAATGCAAAATATGCGCTTATAATATGCACTATAAAATATGCACTAAAAAGTGAAAAATATGCACTAAAAATATTGTCTTGTGAAATTTAAATAACATTTAAGACCATATGGTACCCTGCACCAATTAAGAATATATTTAAAATATGATTTAGTTTAAAAATTAGCGCATTTAAGTAGAATTTGCTTTTATTCCGTTATATTTAAACAATTTTGGATGAAAAATTTATTATCCGGAAGAGTGTTTATATACATACATACATCCTAAGAAAATTAGTGAGAGAATGTATGTTTGTATAACCTCTATTTATTTCGAATTTTATCGCGTGGTGTGTTTTTGAGTGAGTTATGGACGTTACAGTCAATTTCTGAAGGATATTTTGTATGGGGTTAGAGTTAGACAGATGTGTATGGAAGTCAAGTTATTTGTTTATAAGGGCACACAGATGGATAGACTCAGAAAGTGATTCTAAGACGATACTTTAACACAATTTTTGCTAAAAAATAAAAAAATGCAAAATATGCAAGAAAAATTTAAGAAATATGCAAAATATATGCAATTTAAAGCAAAATATGCAATTTATAACAAAATGTGCAAAAATATACAACAACAAATCGATGCCATTTTATAGCAAATTCTTTGATTCGAAAAGAAAAATAGTTAAAAGTTATTTTGAGTTACTGACTACAAACTAGTGCTGTAATATTCT